AATGAAATAGCAACGCGACGGGAGGGGGGGGCGGTTGGTCGACCAGAGACTATGCATGCGTAAACGCACGCAACAGGTGATGGGGATGAGACAAATTACAGCACCAAAAAGGTAAAGAGAAAAAAAAACAGGGATTGGATGGATCACAATTAGCTCAAAGGTCATGTCTTGAAGTGAGAGATAGAGGGGCATATTTGATGGACCATCTGCAATGGAATAGTTGGAGACGAGTGTGATTACAATGGAGGCGATTATTTGCTTCACGGGCTTTAATGAGCGAGAAAATGAATGAAGTACAACACACAGAGAGAGAGGGAGAAACAATACAAGGATGAAAAGTGGAACTTGCACACATCTGAGAGAAAGAATGAGGAAGAAGACGTATCACAGTGGAATGTACAACATAGGAATGCATGATCAGAGGAATCGGGCACGCGGGCGGGGGCAGAAAACAGTTGTCAGAAGAAAAACATACCAGCAAAAAAATAAGCCGATCTGGTGGGCAAAACTCGGTCATAGCAAAGAAACTTTAAATGAACGCATAATTATTCACGAGACAAACCAACAGTGTGTCAGAGCGCAGGAGGAGTTGAGAGGAATGAGCTCGGTTAATAGGCGGTCCGAATGTATGGAAGTGTGCACCACCCTAATGAAGGCTGCATTCAATCAATCCATCCGTTTTGCATAACAGACAGCGAGGATACCGAAAGGGGTTCGACCTAGGAAGGGGAGAATTGCAAATATACTGATCAGAAATCACATCAGTTCAGCATAAAAGGGAAAACAAAATAACAAAGTGTTGGTGACCTCAGTTTCAGTCTCAATTTTTACAACTATTAACCATGCACTTTCGTGCGTCTTTTGACAGAATGAAGATTGGACTGTTGCGAGCAGAGTCAAAGAGAAGATAGAAAATTCACATGGACTAAGGTTGCAAAGATAACCAGTATATGCATGAGCGTCACTGCTTGCGACATTTAGCCACATCATTGTGTTTCAAACTATCAGCTCGGAGAGCCTAACGGGACCTATGTGACCCAATCTCCCGGTTAAGATTTTCATACCCTCAGGCCAGTTATTCGTCTGAAGACCCTTGACCTTTTTCGATCAGCTGCCTAGACAAACATTGCACGTTGAGGCGTGCCTTAGCACGATACACGCTCTGTATAGTTTGACCTGACAGACCGCTAGCTGATCGGAGCACGATTGCATACCAAATGTGATAGGGGCCGGCGTCTGACTGATGTAGCAATAGCAACCGATGCTCGGGAGCACAGGGACAAGGATCATACTCGCATGAGCTGACCAGTACGACAGGCTAGGCAAAACACGGTTCAAAATGATCGAACCAGCGCTCAAAGCTCTTTACCAGATCATGTATGGTCGGGATGGGTGTCTCGGATTGTGACTGGTCACCATTCCCTAACACCTCGCGAAATGCTCTTATATGACCAAGAGTCTCAAATAGCCTCCGCTAAGGAAGCCCTACCCACTGCCTTCCCGTGGTGGAGTTGTTGTCCCATCAAAGTGAGAGGACGAAGAGCCGACATCCGGGGTTGGTGAACCATTGAGAGTTCACTTAGGGAAGTTGGATAAAAACCTTGATTCCAAACCAACTAAGAAGAGGCGTACGAACCATACATATACACAGATACACCTTCCTGGTTGTGACAGCGGTCACCGGACCCATTGGGCACCTTGTACGTTTGACCCCGTCCAAAACGTGTATGATATAGTGAACAGGACACTGAGCCCCAATGGACTGCGGACTCTGAGCTTCGTCCTGTTGTCTTGCAGGTCTGGCTTTCTAACCAATTCGGGGGGGGGGACCCCGAAGTTACCCCGTTCCTCGGTCAGGGCAACCGAGAAGTAGCATGCCCACACAACCTATGAACACATTCTACAGATTTCCTTTTGTTCATATGTTGTAGCACATTTGCCAGTTCGTTTTAATTGGTTACGTGTTGAATAATATGTATGTGACAAAGTTATCTAACTTATGAACGACGGTGACAAGGCTTCAACTCAAGGCGACATAACAATCTATGCAAATCTGTGCAAGTGAGACACACGGAACGGCTCTCACCAACCGGATATTCATGTGCATCTCAAAATTGAAGTAGTAAGGCTAAGAAAAAAGAAAACCACAGAGAGAGAGAGCCCGGGGCTATTCGTGTTCAACCCTACCAAGCTAATGCGGTCAGAGAACCAGTCGGGTAGAGAAGAATTCAGTTCCCCGAACAGTAATCCGGAGTATATTTTTACATCGACGAAAGGGAAAATTCCAGTTATTCTATCGGACAGCGAATACCAGGCAGAGATCAGCGCACTGTGAACCGGGAGTTATTGTCCCGTTCGAATTGTAACGACCTTGGCAACTTGCGATTCCGTTTGAGTGAGTAGTGTACGTGTCTCACTGGAACCCTTCTGGTTCATGGTGTGTGTGGTTTCTTCTCTTCCAAATTGTCTACTCGCCCTCTACATGGAGAGAACCTCCTGTCTGTCGACGGTTCCAACCAACACCTAGACTCGACCCACTTGCGGTTGTCTGGTATATTCGTTCACAGGGGACATCCTGCCGCACACACGAGCCAAGCATCTCACAGTATCCCGTTAACCACAATGAACGCACGAGACGGATGGTCATTGCCGATCAAAAGGAAGTAGTTCAATGTATCCAACTCAATAGAACTTGAACTTGTGAATCAAGACACTGATAAGCCAGTACGAACCACGGGAACGGAAACAGTTAACATTTCTCACTTACGGGGCACGGGGAGGATGCAACAGTATTATCAACACGATAACGGTCGTTGCACGCAATTGGAAACCGGCCGAATCAGGCAGGATAGAAGGACAATGAAGGATGGAATGACTAGCATGCGCAAGTGGGTTTCTTCGACTGTTGTTTGGATAAATTCACTGCATCCGGTGACGAGCCGTGAATGCGGGATTTGATCAACGATGCCTCAATCTTGTTCATGACCGCATCCAATAGAAGGTCGACAGCTGCAGCCACTTGGTATCCGGTCGCCGCACTAGTTTCGATGTAGGGTACGCTGAAAGGAAAATGATAACGGCGATGCACACGAGGACAGGACACATGGACACGAACGGATAAGTTTCATTATTTTCTCCTCATTATGCTGACGTGCTATAATGTCTCTAAGATTGATGTGTCCGGTACTCCGGTACTCACATGTGAACAAAACGCGTGAAAAACCGCCCGGATTAGAGAGAGAGAAAGCCACAACAACTCACTTCAATTCGCGAGCCATGGCAGTGGCCATGGACAGGGGCACCTGACGTTCGGCAGTTAAATCGAACTTGTTCCCGACTAGCACAACATCGGGACGATCACAGTAAGCATGCTGACACAGCAGATCCATCCATTCACGACAATTGTGCAGACTTTTTTCATTGGTCAAATCGAACACGAGCAAGAAACCCATCGCGTCGCGTAAAAACACTGAGCACAAGCTACGGTATCTACAACAAAAAAGGAAACTGACATGCATGAGTACCCCGGGGGGTCATTTGAACGGGAATCAAATTCGAATCATACAATCACCAGGCCTACGAACTATATCGTTATGAGCACTATCCAGTCCACTTCCTTCAACTGACAGAGCTGGTCCATAAGGATGGAAACCGATCGTCTCCGAGTAAATTGGTTGCGAACGAATGTTAGTATCACCGAACCCGCACTGCATTTGTGCGGCGGAGAAACAGAACGGGTCCGTGGTCATAGCGTTTGGTTTTCTTTATTTAAAAATATTAAGCCGAGATTTGTGAAAAACGGAATAAGGGAAATCCGACCGGTGAATGTAATTTTTTAGGAGTGAAAAAAACGTGACAGACTGAGTTCTAGAAGACGATCATTACAGCTTCCAACAGTGAAAATCGATCGAATTGGACGACTTTCAGATTAAAAAGGCTCTCGATCCAGTAGACACAAAATAGATTTTGAAATACAATGAGAAGAAACGGGATGCTGGGGAGGGTAATAAGCATTCTCGAAAATTACGTCTTCTGATACCCGGACTCGTGCCCATGCCTACGGTGGAGTCCGCGGAATTTGATATTACTAGCACCATCATTATCCGTGGTTTTCAGTTAACATAATTATCGTACTTAAAAATAGACCAAAGTGAACTTTTCTGATCGCTGTCAAGCTCATAAAAGGCAAGTACGGATGTGTGAGATGGACAGGGGAATGGGCCTGTTCTGAGGGAGGGAGGAAAGGTGTATCAATATGATCATATACCCCATTTGGTGTTTCTCTTTTTCGTTGAGCAATAAACAAGAAAAACTAGTGCACCCAACAGTTTACTCCACTGTGTCAGGTACCAACGATGGCGAATGACTGAAAGAGAGATGTGCCGCCAGCCATCCTTCAACTTGGACTATAAGTTCCACCATAATCAATACAACTTCATAAGTGGATGGGCTCTTCGCAACCACGACGTAGTTGATTTAGTCTGGCCGATATGGAGACATTTATTACAAAATTTCTAATACAAACGCTCAGTGGCACACGTAGTTGGAAGTTATATCACCAAAAAGCTGTGTGAAATCTGTCGATCAGTAGAACTGTTCAACGTTCAGAATACGTTTGAAACAAGTGTGTATCCCCAATCCCTAAAGATATTTTCGGCTAGAGCACCAGTTGGGTACATACCCAAACCAGCTTGTACAGTACATTTGCTGACAATGCCGGCTGAAGACGGTTAACCAACGAAGTAAACGGAGTAATCCGTTAACCGGTGCATTGAGAAACACACACACGATCGGAAATACTGATGTACTGCTCATGAATTCTGCCCAGTTTGTGGTGGAAGACATCTGACACGTTCAACAATTGTAAACCGCTCCCTTACATTGAAACAGTTCTTTTAACCATGTAATTCTCTCGGTTTCAAAGTTCGACCACAATTGTTTTCATCCTATGTTTGTCTTTCAAAGGATTTCCCTGTGAAAAGGCGATCAAAATAATTTCCATCACAGATACAATTATACAGAATAACGCTCCAGAAGAACCAAACCATTGTGTCACGAATAAGCAACTTGGAATAAAGATCACCATTGACTCACATTTTAAAATACACGTTCAAATTTTTAGATCAAGAAAGTATGCTTGCGTTCTACCAGTGAGGTCCCGGGTTTGAGCCCCAGTTGGGGGTCGATGGATTCGCACCGCTGATGAAACCCAACCAGATCGAAACAGCTGTCCAGTGCTTCCCAGCTTGCGCCTCATTGACACGACGAATTAATCATATAAACAAATCAAACTTCATTCAAAAACACAGGTTTGTCCGTATCATTAAAAATGTTTGCTCAGGATTTTATTTTTGATTTATGGAATTGATTCTACCCTGAGGATCATTTATATCAGAAGTGGTTAATACTACGAACCAGTGATCATAGAACGTGTGCACATACATAACTACGAGCCTCACTACAGCACTTCAGCTGTTAAACCCGACATAATCCAACGTGCTTCAGATTTGGTTGGTAAGTTTGATAATGGTTTACTTCAGTCCTTGCTAAAAAATGAAGAATACCAGTAGGATTCAAAACCATGTTTCGCAGTTTCTCAGCAGAGCTCTGAAAGTTTTATTTTTTCTTATGCATATCAGATTCAAAGAAACATACGGATGCACCAACTACAGTTGAAGTTGCATAAAAACTATGGCAGTATCTCGCTATTATCTCAGCTTAATTCACCAGACTAAAAGTAATATGAAATCGTTTAATGTTGGACTTTTAAAGAATCCGAATAATTGAGTCCTCACTTCCGCGCTCTTTGTTCAGGTTTTAGCACAGTTACAGAAACACTTACCGTTCCTGGCCAGCGGTGTCCCACAGTTGCATATGTAGTCGTTGTTTCGGTCCTAGAAGGCCATCAGCATCGCGACTTTCGCGGACGATGCGCTTCTGACGAAAATCAACACCCACTGTTGAGGTGAAACGCGGATTGAACACGTTATCGGTGTACTGAAACCACAGGCTGGTTTTTCCCACATTACTGTCGCCTAAAACAAAATAAAACAAAACAAAAAACAGTTAAAGACCTGATAACCAGTTGGATGCAGCGTCGTTCTGTTATGAAGAATGGACACGAACAAGCGAACGTGTTAGGTAAGCACAAGTGCTGGGATCCGGCGGCAAGGTTGTGAGCTGAATACAATCGAACACCAAAATAAACGGTTAGTCACACCCAGCAAAAAACCGATACAGCGTTCATCAAATAGGGTTTAATACGGTGTCCGGTGGGAGAAACAAAGAATGTGACCAACTTCCATTATTTTGTTTTGAGCTTGATGACCTAATGCTTATATAATTACTGGAAGATACCTGTGGGCTGCATCAAGAAGTCAATTTGGACTCATCCCACGCCAAACATACTGTGGCACAAACATCTTTATGACAAAAAACCAATGTATGATTTGTTATTCAGCGCGGTTGGTGTTAGTGATTGAGCGGTTAAAGTCATCCCTAAAGCGACCCGGAGGTCGTAAGTTTGACTCCTGCTATCGCCATTTATCTTTGTTAACTGTCAATGGATCTGGTGGTTGTAAACTCGTCTCAACAGAAGAGCATCACAGAGTCAGATTGAGATGTATTTATATGTGGTATACAGTCTAATCACGTGTCAGATGCTTCCCGGACAGGAATCGAATCGCTTTCGAGTCAGCCAAACAACTAGATACTACCCAGAGACAGGCCTGTTCTATCGGAATAGCCTTGCATTCACATTTTGTTTTCACAAATCTGACATCATGACGGAACAGTCTAAAGCCGAGGGGTTGCGAAGTCTATCCTCATTAACGGGAACACGACCTGTGATTTCAGTGGTTTGGTTGGTTGCCAGTGTTGATATATAAAAGCCCTACTCGGGATACTGTGTAAAGCCTGTGGTAGGGGGCACTGCAAGAAGGCATGCAAAGCAAATGATATGCGTTGGCCTTAGATTCTGTTGTTGCTGGTTCGTACTGTCTGTCGAAAGCAGTTACTCAAAAAGTCGTGAAAGTAGTCCTACTACAAGTCCATGTCAATAGAGGTTGCTAGGAAAGTTATGGTGCCCAGGTGTTCTTGCAGAAATATCACTGAAAAATTGAGTCTTTCCAAAACTGTAATACAATGGGATCTACATCTTCCATAAGTATCCTACGGGGGAACTGTGTTACTATCGCGCACAAATAAACCACTTGTGACCGTGTCAAATAGTCCGCCATAGTGGAATTGTTTCAATGCTCTAATGGGGCACAATTTACCTCAACGTAACAAGTAAAGCTGTTTTGGAAGACAATCAATCTATCTTCTGTCTGTGCAGTGCAAGTAGAACCACAATCTATGTTTGAACACGTTTGAAAGGTGACACTTAGTACAAGGCAAATCCATCTAAGCGATCAAGCTTGTTTTCGGGGACCCATCAACTGGCTAATGCATTACATTTTAAGTAGCATCATTTTGCATGGAAAAAAGAAACAAAACAAATGGATAGTCAGATGGAGATATTTTTGTCATTTGTCTCAGTCGCACAAACCAAATATGGATGATACTGCCATCAAATCTTTATACGTTTGGTTTGTATTACTCGTGTGATTCGGGGTGGGAAGGGAGGCGGAGGGCCATGGAAGACTGGGTGCTTTCACAAACTGTTTTGGGCGCACAAGGGGGTTTATGCAGACGAAGTTCAACCGCCAACGAGACAGCTAGGATGCGAGTTTTAATCGGCTTAGATCGGCAACCCCAAACACGGTAGAGAGGCCGAAATGCTTCGGTCACGCTCTCTGTGTGATCGGATTTGACGTGTGAACCGATGTCACTTGTAATCGTTTTAACGACACCAGTGTTCAGCCAGGCCGGATGATGTTCCCGAAAGCTTGTAGGTAGACATCTGCTCTAGCGGCCGATAATTTGTCCCCTAGGGACACATAAATAGGTACACACAAAATGAGACTGCAGAAACGGGGATGCTGTTCAAGTTCTTAATACAGGATCGGTCTGGACGTGAACACGACGCGTAATTTTGCTGCATAGAATGCATTGTTCTCAGTCTCCGGCTAACAACCTCCGTGAGTGTAACCCCTTCGTATGGGAGAGAGATGTACACAGGCTTATTTTCTGTTTGTTTATCTCTGTTGAATGGTTATTTAGCAAAATGCTACCCACAAGACGTTCTGGAAAACCGTTTTGTCTGGAAAACATCAAGAATGTAAGATAGTTCCGCGTAGTCTCACTAGTGCATATTTTCACCGCCCTATTTACCTAACAGAATAAGATTTCTTTTGCATTTCAGTGACAAGAAAACTCCTCAAATGGAGGTAATGGCCGCTCCATCGGTTTCTTATAAATCGATTCTAGAATAGAACCATTTGTGCGACGCTCTAATCAAATGCCGAGGAAACCATTCCCGCCATTAACCTCTTCTTCCAAAGTGAATTTGACGAGCGAAATTGAAAATCCCGAGCAAGTCAGACACCTTGACATTGTCATCCACATACCGTCTGTACAGTTTACCTCGCACTAGCCTACACACGAACAAATCCTCTTTCCCTTTGCCTCCCCCACCCCAAACCACGTGATTAACACAGACCAATCAATACCAGCCATATCCGGTATGTGCAACAGATAACAAAAATATCTTAATTTGCCTACTCATTTGTTTTTGTTTTTTTTTATGCAAAATGATGCTGTGAAAAATGTGATGATGATGATCAGCCAACAGATCGGTCCCCGAAAACAAGCTTGTCCGCCAAACTGCGTTTTCTTCCAATGTGCGTGGCCGGTATATTCCAGGAATAGGTTGAATCATTTATCTGAGCAAAAATCCCAGTTGCTAAAAGTAGATACTATTGAAGGGCTTAAGTTCCAGTAGCGTCTAAGGAATGCTACAAACAGTCTGATAATAAATCATTACAACTATCTGAATGCTCAGTATTTTAATAAAAGGACCAGCTAATCGAAAAATCTCCGTTCAGGTGTTTACTACGCTTGCTTTAAGGAACACATACCACCACAAAATTTAAAAAGGCAGGAAGGTTTACTGCTATGTAAGGTTGCAAGAACATGCATCAAACGAACGACGTTGTATGCTTCTAATGAACAATGGACGACTGAGTCCATAAAAGACAACTGTCGGGCGTACCTGCTTATGTGGACAACACTTTTATCTGCGGTCTAAAGTTTGAAACACAACCAGAGATTACGGTGGTTTATCGAAGTACCGAAAAAATCCTGTTTGACTTTTAATGAGAGCAAAAATCTCCAATTGAGATTTATAAAGGTATCGTAAAACCGGGTCCGGAAAGGGCAAAACCACTCACAGAAGAGAAAATGGAGAATTCTATCGAGGCGAGACTGTAGCTTGACGAGCTGTGATGGCTTGCACGCGTCCATGACCCTGTGAGCTACACAAGATGGCTCTTCACAGCCCCAGATCCAACCATATCTGAAAGCTCAATGTGTATAGGCTAGACAAAGCCCAGCTGCTTGAGTAACCCCTGGCTTCCTTTGACTATCCACTCCCGCCTCTGAAGAGGTCACTCCAGGAAAAAAAACAAGGGGAGGGGCAGTTTACCGGTAAAAAAAACCGCTAGATGGACGTAGAAGCGGGATACCTGAGGCTTTCTCTCGACGGTGGGAGAAGTCTGCGCACCTCACTGGACAGCTACCACCCGCCCAAGCTGGGAAGCCATCAGCTAATAAGGTGCTGTCCGGCCTACGATTCGCTCGTCTCATTCGATGCGTGAAAGGGCTAATCCCGAACAGCGGACCGACAATCAACGCACCAGTGAACAACACACTG